AAGGGTTTACAAAATGGTTAAGGAAATCAATACTTTCTGAAGAAATGTAAGTAGCTCAGTTTCCTTATCTGAGAGGAAAATGTAAGCAGCTATCAAGTTGCCTCTTGAACTGCGTATACCAGGTATATACTTCAAATAGTAGTTCGAAGAACTGTAGTTAATTTGACTGTGGTATATCCATTCTGCATAGAGTGTCTCTGATTGTGACATATTTGTATAGAACTTTCATTTTGGATTAGGTCATTCATCCTGCAACAACTGCTAGGCATTTAACTGCACTGCAGCTTCCCATCTCCAGGAGGTGAGGAGGTTTCTACAACGCATTATGAAAGACTTGACTGGAAAGAGAAAGGCACCAGGATTTTTTCTGACCAAAATGCTGATTCCTTTAAGAATTTTCAGAATTCACTTGTAATGGTCTGAGTTCTTGTAAAGGGAAAGCTAGGCAGAGATACACAGGATGAGCTTTCATGACTGCTTTCCCTGTTGAAGAGCAGATGGATGCAGACCATGCTGTGTTCCTGAAGAACAGCTTTAGCCATTGGCTGCACCCTGAGGTTACCCTGCAGAACCAGAAGTGTCAACCAAGACCTGGATTTCCCCACAAAAAGATGGACAAGGGATCCAGTGACTAAGTAAGCTGTAGCAGGTGGCACTGGGAAAAAAAAACAAAACAGTGTAGCAGAAGAAAGCAAGAGATGCACTGGTTGAAAGCCAGAAAAAACCTCAGTCTAGAAATACTGTACAATACTTCACTGGATTCCTCCTCATGATGTCTTTATGCAGGGACTTAGAACAGTTATACTGAAGGAGCAAACCTGATACAGAAGCCAGGGTAAATTCACCAGTTTTGTTTGTTCTCATGTAAGACTGGATTGTCTCGACAGATCCTATTGACTGGAACGTCTACCAGTTAAAGCATATTTTATAAACTATTTTCATTTTTGCCATACCATTGAGATTTTCCTCTTCTTTGAAATAAGTTCTGTACTGATGAACTACTGCTGATCTTTCTAGTCTCTCTAGTTTCCTCTATTAGTTCAGTTTTGGTGAATGATTTACCATTTTAAGTTTAGATCTATAGAATCAAGTTTTTTACATAGGCGTATAATCCACTGAACTTACCACACTATTTTTAGTGTTAATAAAAATGTTTGCACGTGTGAAAATGTAAAATCAGGGCTCATGTGTCATCTCCAGATTAATTCAGTTGCATCTAAATTACTCTGTACAAATTATTACCATTCAGAGAAATTGTTAAGAAATAAAAGTTAGTGTCATTGTCATCCACAACCCTTTGAAAGGTTCCTGACAGTTTATTACAGCCATTTACAATTAACAGTTGTCTCTGATCCTCTTTATCAAATAAGTAATAACATTATTTTGCTCAAGTACATGATCAATTTAGTATGTCATGCAAGAAAGGGTTATGCAGGTAATTAAAAATGTGCTAGTACTCTTCTCTCATAAAAGGTTCAACAAAAATGGGCCTTGAGATGCTTACCTTTGGTTTTCTGTGAGTACAACATACATGACTCTTTTAGTTGATATGTGTGATATCCTAAACCAAAGCAACTCACTTTCAAACAATGAATATGCCTAGTCTGTATAAGTGGTCTTACTTACTGGCCATAGAAACTAGGTGTTCTAATTGACCCAGATTGTTGCAATTCCCCTACAGCTTCAAAGAAAAAACACGTACTACCCCAATCCCCTTGTAATCAACTCTGTGGACAGACTTACGTATTCAGAAAAAAAGTTGAATAAGTTCAACAAGTGCTCATCTGTAACCTTTTCTGTCCAGCTCAGAAAGGTACCCATGGTGTTCTTTGTAGCATTAGGCATATTTAACAAAAAGAAAGTTAAAAGTAATTGAAAATGTGGCTCAATTTGTTAAGAGCTTTTCTTTTTTTTTTTTTTTTACTGAATGACATAGTTGGAAGGTTTCCTTGAAACCTTGTAAGAAGATTACGTGCAAAGAATTTCTCAATATTTCTCAATATCTCTTTAAACTTTATACTAACAAAAGAAATTATTAACAAACTTTTCATAAAATAAACTATATTCTAAACCACTGGGACTGCTTAATAACAAGTTCTTCACTGTCACATCATGAGTAAAGCACATAAAAGTGCGGATAATAATGAATAAACATCACAGACACTCAAATGAAATGGTAAATCACTATCATCATGCACTAAGAAACCAACGTTGTTATGACAAGTTTAACTCTGATCCAGGAATTTATATGAGAAGAAAACGTACGATGTATTATATATTTTCCTAATAGATACTTTGAAATAGAAAAGAAAATATTAGATGACATTTGTACCTGCTGACAGTGCTCCCAGTTGCATTTAAACAGAGCATTTGTAATTGCTTTTAGAACATCAGATCACAAAACTAAAGGGAAGATATGGCCAAAATTAAGTTAAGCTTACAATATACTGTTAGGCATGCTGACTAGCACATACTATTTAAAACAGTATGAGTTAGAAGAAATGTTACTGTTATGCTGCACCTGTATGGTTGGAACTAAGGACATAATTATATTGTCAGCTCTTATGCTCTGCCTATGAATTATCTGTTTGTTTGAGTTCAACAAGAATAATGGGTTTGCCGAACATTTAGAACTGCAGTGACTGCTGGGTAACTACTCTTTCCCTGTACATATCTTATAGAAAGGTTCACAGCCCAATTTCTGCTACAGATGTCTGCTATTGACAAAAGTAGTCCTTCAAAACAATAACTCATGAAGTTACATCAAGTGCATTGGCCATTTTGGTCTGTTTGTGCTGCAGGTGAAGAACTGGGCATAAACAACTGTTTTACAGAGTTCACTTTGGTGGGGGAAGTTTGGTGTAATGTCACACTATCACTTTTGGGGTAGTACCTAAAAACAATAAACTCTTGGTTGGGTTCAAGTTCCAGTGTCCTTGCTCAGGCTTTAGCTCCATTTGTGACAGCTGAAACAACTTTACTCACACTCAGTGCAAAGTACTTTGCGTATAAATGCATGTTAAAAGCACTGCAATATGCAATCTTTCAAAAGTATGTGTTGAAAAGATGGGCTGGCTCCTGCAAGACACTTTTAGAAAAATAGACAGAACTGGTGAAACCTGGTCCATTCTTGAGAAAATCATTACTACTGTAATAGTGATCTTGGGCTGAAACTACAGAGAGGCCTCCAAAAAAGCAGAAAAATAGTATTTCCATCCTACTTTGTGGCAGACTGTTAAAGGGCACCAGAGGTCTCTGCAAACACCTTGGGTTGCAACACACTACACACCAGAGATTAATGATCTGCAAAACATAACCATTTGTTGCCACTTAAAAATAGATGGGGGGGAAGATAAATCTTTCAACCACCATTTCTCCATGCACTCTCTGAATGAATGGCAAAGCTGAAAATAGTTGATTCAGGTACATGGATATTTATACCAAAGGTTCCATTTTATCTGAGACGTCCTGTAATACAGAATAAAATAATGCATGTAAGTTACCTCTCTTCCTCACTGAAGACTTCTTATCAACTTATTTATAAATACTCATGTTGCCTCTTTTTCTCACGGAAGACTTCTTATCAAGTTATGTATAAATACTAATGTTAATGAGATGCATACATAATAATCTACACCTGACTAGTCCTATAATCCAAACTACTTTGACAAGCAAAGAAATTTTTTTTTTTTTTAGCTAGTCCTCCTCCTTTGTAACTAGGTCTTTGAACTGATAAATTAGCATGCATATTCTTTTCTCTGAAACCACTTGATAATTTCTTTCATACCTGAGGTACACTATGATCATTAAGAAACATCTTGAAGATGCACAGCTGCACTGGTATAATTTTCATCAGTGCCTTTGAAAAATATTTCCTTAATATATCAAGATTTTAAAAGACACAGATAAAAAAAGTATAATAAGTGGTGATTTTGACTAGGATAACACAACAGCCTTCTGAAGATGAGAGATGTCATGAGATCAACACACAAACTGATAAATCAACATTCAGCATGGGGAAGGGGTCTGGAGTCTGACAGACTTTAAAAAATGTTTAATAGATTTTTTTCCCTTTTTTCTTTTCTTTCTTTTTTTTTTTTCACAGCCTTTACATTACACATTTGTATATCCTCTTAGAATGATAATTTGTTCTATCGTTAAAAAGAAAAAAACACTGGCCAACAGACAAATACCCTTTCAGTGCTGCTTTGTGATTTTTTTGAGAGTGTAACCTGTGGAATGGTTCACATTAGTTCTGAATTATTAATGGAGTTGAATGATCAGATTCCTTTTTGTTAGCTTGTTATGGTTACTAATAAGACATGAACACAGCCGTGCCAAACTGTGGTTTCTTCAGAGCCCTTCAGCTCAGTATTCTAGTTCTCCCTTAAAACGTACGTTTCCAACTTCTGGGACTGGAGCAGCTGCCCTTGCCCCATCCCACACGAGAGCCCGATCGCCTCCCCGAGAGGTGCGGAGGCAGGCGCGGGTGCCGTGCGGGAGGTGCCGGCGCCGGGAACGGTGACCCCCGCACCGCCCGCTCTCCCGCCGCGCCCGCGCCCCGTGTCCCCGCATCCCCTGCGGGCACGGCCGGCATTGCTGCCCGAGCTCCCTGCGCTCCAGGCGCCGGGCTCCCCCCGCCCGCTGCCCCGGGCCGCACCCGGCACTGCACAGCCCCGCCGCCCTCCCCGGCGTGCCGGGGACGCGCTTTTCCCAGCACCGAGCCGAGCCTGGACTCACTATCCAGCCCAGAGAACAAGTGGGATGCGGCTGAACTTTTACTTTGCCGGTGCCGGCTCCCCCCCGCAGCCGCCCGTGGGAGCCACAGCAGCAGCACCGGCACCTTTCCCCGTTGAAGTTTGGCGGCGCAGCACACGCCGCCTCCCCTGCCTCTGCCCCCGCCGCCAGCCCGCCCGGCGTCCCCCGAGCTCAGCCCGGGGCGCGAAGGACAGGGAGCCGAGCCCGGCCGGGGCAGGGGCGGGGGGTCCCGCCGTACTCACCCGCTCCCCAGCCGCACGGTCAGCAGCAGCAGCAGCAGCAACCGGGCCCCACGCATCCATGAGCGTGAAGGAGCTCTCTCTTCCCCGGGTTTTCTCCGGAGAGGCTGAGGAACGGCGACCCTGCTAATCCCACCACCCCCCGGCACACGGCAGGCAGAGGGAGGGGACGGGAAGGGTGAAACACCCAAACAGGTAGAAAACCACTCTGCAAGGACCGAGCAACTCGCCCAATAGGCTCATCAGGTTGCTCCATAAATTATCCTAAAAACTGCTGGGCGAATCAACCCCTAGCAGAGGTGGAGCCTCCTTTACTAGAAGGCAAACATGCTTGGGAGAAAGGGTGGCACTGATTTCCCGAAGAGGGAAATGAAATACACCATATATGTGTGTGTGTGTGTATATATATATATATGTATATCTGCATATATAAATATGCAGAACATATAGAACGTTAAATATATGTTTAAAGCTATATATTTAAATCTCTCTATTTTAAACCCTACTCGGTGGGCGGCCCGCAATCCGAGAGTCAGCCCCTCGGCCCTGCCAAGCGGAGACCCGCAGCGGGGAGCAAAAGCGCCGGGGGATGTGCGCGGACACCCGCAGGGACCGCACGGCCCCGCGTCCGGCACGACCTCGATTTTGGGGAGGTCCCAGCCACGGGGAAGGGAACACCCGCCAGCCTCTCGTTCGTCCCCAGGAGAAGGGGCACACCCCTCCAGCCGCGGTGCCTAAAGCCATGCTGAAGGCAGGCGGCGTGATGGGCGCGCAAGAGCAGCTGCGGGAAATGCGCTCCCAAGGCGCGACGAGCGCAGGCTCGGCTGCTGCAGGCGGCTCTGGGCGGCCGCGGAGTGCCCGGAGGGGACGAGGCGCGGGGTGGGCGAAGCGCGGTGCTGAGCTGAGAGATGCACCAGGGCGTGCAAAACGAGCGGTTTGGGATTTTTTTTCCCCTTCTGTTTTCCTCTTTGAGTCCTCCTCGGGTGCTCCCTCCTTCTGCTTCTCTCAGGACATGTATGCAGGAACGTAGCCAAACGCACCCCGCCAACTACTCCCCTCCCGAACACCACAAGGAAAGCACCGCGGTGGCGTAGGCGATCGGAGGTTCCGCGCTCGCAGCCTCTGCCTCGGCCGTGGGGAAGGGTGGTCACGTCCCGACGGCACCAGAGCTTAGATAACGCATTATTTCTTCTCTCGTCTTCAGGGTCGGATGGCCCCTGAATCTCTCCCCAACCCAAATTCCCTGCCCCTGAGATGCCTCTGCTCGCAGCTCTCTATGGGGCTCTTCTAGAGTAACCTGCACAACGTGTCATCAGCGTTAGGCTCAAACCGTTTTATCAGTCATCATCATCATACTCCTTCGAGTCAAGCTGTCACTGCACAGAAATGTAAATAACCCCCCATCCAGTAGTTATTCCGATGAAAGGCAGTGTTTTGTCTTTACACATCATCATCTGTTTATTATTTTATATGTACATCTTACAGCTGCTTTAATGGTTAAAGAAACTCACCACGCTTCAGAGAGCTGCAGCACATTAAGTGAAAATTCAACCACTTGAAAATTAATAGCCAGTCCTGTGGGTACTGGCAGACGGTAAAGACACATATTATTGTATGACCTGAGGTCTCTTTACTGGTGGATTAACACAGCAGGCAGCATCCTAGCATGATGGCAGAGGCATGAGCTCAGAGGAAAGCATATGCATTTATTACAGAGTAAGTGCAGAAGCAGCTCCTCTGCTGCAGCTGGTGGCATTAGCTCCAAAAAGCAGGATTACTGTCCCCCTCAGCAAGACAATAAGCACAGCCTGTCCCCGAGTCCCTTTCTCTCTGGGAAGTCCTTCTGCCCTGAAAGTAGCCATGGTTCTAAGGTTTATTATGGATTGATCTGTCAAATTGACTGCATTTTGCAAAATATGCAATAAATGCTTCTTATGTCTTTGCATCTGATGTTTAGGGAATCATTAAAACTCTGTACCAGCTTATAGAATTTCATCCTGTCACTAAAAGATATTATGCAATTACAGTGACTACTGAGAAAATTTGACATAAGAAGTTTAAGTGTACTTACAGGATTCCAAGGCATCTTCTTTCTATGTGAGCAGTTTGGAGCATCTATTTAAAAACTCAATATCACCCCTGGGTAGATACAGCAGCTTGCTACCACTGAAAGACATGGGAGATTTTAACTAAAATAATATGTAGCATGAATAGTGAGAAAATTAAATTTTTCATTTGATTTATGGGTTTAGAATGTTAAGACATATAAAAATACTATTAAAATAAAATTAAAATGAAAACAATACCAATGAGATTTCTCAAATGACTCGGGATGACCTCAGGAAAAGCTGTTTTCAGATAGTCCCAAGTCTGAATTTTCCTTGTACTTTAATGTAAAGAATAGAAATCCATCCCTTTCAAAATCACAAGAAATTATTCCCTGAGTAAGTAAAATACTAGATGGAAAGTAGGTATAGAAGTTTTGAAAAGCAAACAGGGAACAAAAAAAAAAAATAAAAAACCCACCCTTTAACTACTGGAAGAAAACTTGAAGGAAGTCAACTCAGTCAACTCAGATTGTCTGTATTCCTAAGAAAAATTTTAAAAAGCAATAAATAAAAACTGCAAAATGGAAAGAGGATATCAAAGAAAAGCTGGGTAAATTACCTAGTTGGGTGTCTAGAAGAATGAGATACCCATACATGATAATACAATGAAGAGCAGTGACTTAGTTATTAGGGCCTGGTAATATCTGATATTTCTCAGCTGCTTGCTGAGTACAGTACTGGCACAGCTAACCTAAAAACAGCATTTAAATTCTCAGTTAAAAACACCTTCTGCTGCTGAGAGTAATAAGGCTGTCTTAAAAACAAACAAACCAAACCAAAACAAAACAAAACAAACAAAAACAGAGGTGAAGAAAGGAGTCAATAGTATCTTTTCAAACCTGCTAGACATCACTTCAGAAACAGCAAAGTGACTAAGGTTAAGTAAAACTGTAGGATTCAAATCACTATTATTACTAAGTTTGGTTTCTGCTAAGGAAAACCACTGTCTGTATCTTCTTCAGTCATATTTAATGAGTATATGAATAGAAGAACAGGGCTTCATAATTCACTGTCTTTCAAAACCATTTTAAGTCTATCAGTTATTTGTTAAAAGAGTTGCATAGTTCTGGGGTGAATAGGAAAGTAATGCCATCTTCCAGAAACTGCTTGAGACTACTGTCAGAGTGATTTACATTCCACGGTAAAAACATGAATCTTGAGTTCTTATGAATCAGCTCGTGAGCTTATCTTACTTAACTGATTCCTCACTGAGGTAATGGTTTCAAAGAGAATAAACAGAAAAATTCACAGACAAAAATTTCAGTTTGGTTAAGTGTATTGAAAAAAGTAGTGAATATTGATTAATTCATCACAGTATAGAATGTCAGTTATAAAATGGGAAGCAATGGCATGCTGAGAAATGGAAAAAGAAAAATAATCCAAAGCTTGAATTTGGTAATGATTTTAAGTATTTAAATATAAAATCACATCTTAACTTTCAGCTCTGCTGCTATCTAGTAGTGGAAGACCTAGAGAAAACATATATACATTTAACAAATTTCTTTAGAACTGTAGAGCAACACCCATACAAAACACCGAAAAGAGCACTAGTTTGAACAGCTCAGCACCTAAATTCTGCCCAAGCTCATCAGAAATCTTTCTAACCTCCAGGTTTGAGGAGTGCAAGATAATAGGATTAATTTGATGTAAAAGACCTCTAAAACACAGCCAAGGTGTATCACCTGTTCCCTGACTGCTTAAAAGTGTAATTATTGCTTTGGATTCCATAGAAATACACCTAACCTTCAGGTATTGTAAAAGGAGCAAAGCCACTTTGCACAAGTTCTTGGCTTCCAGTGTGGAAGCCACCTATTCAACCTCAAGGTACCTTCATCTAAAAGGATATGAGAAAAAATTTTCATACTTAAAGCTGAAGTCCAAATATAAGGAAGAAGAAAAAATCCCCACATTAATACATAAATAGCTAATATCACTGTATTTTTCACCTGGGAACCTTCACACTTAGTATCAAAGAGTATTTTGATTCTTTAGAATTTAATTGTTCAAGACTACTGAGGAACCCAAAATTACTCGTATGTAATTTTCCATAGATGACATCCTACATCTATTTCTCTTGAATATAGCTACTTCCCTGACAGGGACATATGAGACTTGATGTACAATTTGTGTGCCTGCATACCGTTTTGAGTGCATAAGAGCTTTGAAAACCTGGCCTTAGTGGATGGTCTGTTTTCATTCACTGTGCTTGAGGGAAGTTGATGGCTCTCACATAGTTCTGTAGGGAGCACTTACCCTACTGAGAGCAAAGTTATCCAGCGTATGTGGAGAGGGAAGGAGAAATTATTGTAGTGTTCTGTCCTCCACCAGAACCAGCATATAGAACAGCAAGAGCTCAAGGACCATTGCAGTCACATCTTCAAAAGGGTAGATTTACATAACAATATTTTGGTGAAATTGCAAATGTAGACCTTAACCATGCATTCACAAAGCAATTTACCTCACCTCCTAGATTTATAGAATCATAGAATAGTTTGGGTTGGAAGGGACCGTTAAATGTCATCTATGCCATTCCCCCTCCCATGGGCAGGAACCTCCTCAAAAAGTATGCACATGTCATTTATACATTGAAGTAGGCACAAACAGAATTGCAGAGTCACATGCATGGTATTTAAAACCTGCAGCCCAAATGAAAACAGTTCCATTCTTCTTAGGGCAATTCAGAAAATGTGGTTTTAAATATGCATAATCATGCTTAATCCTACGTGAATGTTTACTCTGATAAAATTCAAGAAAGCTATCTTAAACACCATAGTAGCCTCCTGTTGCAATAGATGTAAAAAACATCTCAAGAAGAAAGAAAATTAATGCAAACATTTTGGCACTGGCCTTTTAGAATGGTCCTTTAAGTTTGAGGATATTGGATATCCACAGGAGGAGAACAGAAAGATGCAGAAATATAACTTCAGTGAAGCTTTTATATT